ACAGAACAGCCTTCTGCATCAGGAAACAGTTAGTTTGCACTTTTGTTTATTGCCACAATGAATAAAATGTTCAGCCACAATGAATAAAAAAGATCCATGTATTCAAATAAAGATACTCCAAAAATATCTGTATACCCCACTTCCTTTTTTCATTTTACCCAGCAGGCCAGGCTCCTCCCGACTCTTTTAACTGGTTGAAAATTATCAGTGTCATTCAAAATCTTCTGGGCCTACTGGGAGCTTTGCAAAGAGTAAAAGCTAGAACCAATGTTTGTTCACCAAGTAACATGCAAAATCTTTTTTCAGTTTTTTATAATGAAACAATTCTAAGTGATTCCATTTTTTCCTGATACTCAAAGACAAAAAACTTGAATTAAAGGTGCTCCGAGCTGTATTGCTTGGAGAGGATGAGCTTTCCTGTTACAGCATTTTCTCTGCTCCCCATGTTCCTTTGCCTTCCAGCAGTGAGTGCTCTCAGTCCCACTCTAGTTCCTTCAAGTAATGAAGAAAGGTAGATTTATTCAGCATCTATACAAACATACACATTTGTACAGTCCAGACAGCCAACACTAGTGGAGTTAATGAAATATGTATGTATTTTTTAATCAGGTAGTTGAAGTAGTGCAAAGAGGTCTGTTCTTTTAGATTTATACATTATCAATTATATATTTGGTATTTTCCCCCCTTAAAAATAACTGTGAATGAACACCTGAAAATATGAGAACTAACAGAAAATATAGTCTTAGGATTTTGTTGGAAAAATACAATTTGAAATAAAAAATATGGTAATTTCTTCTTACTAGAAACAAGTAATAAAAATATACTTCCGCACATAATTTTTTAGCATCCTAGACATGTAACAAATACTTCTGCAGTAGCAGCCCATCCTTAAAACGAAGTCCAAATCCCTTATAGTGCTGCATTTTAATTAATATCAAAAAGCACGTAAGTCAGTAAATCTTTGCATATTCCTTTGTACATATTAGCCTGTGTTTTGGCAATGTAAGCAAATGCTAGGCCATGTTGACTATTTAGGAAGTGGTTTACATATAAGTATTCTCTATAAGAAAGCAATCTTAAAAATCCTGGCTCTGATCCTAGGCAGGGTCATTGCCTCTTTGTACTATTTCATTGATTCCAGCCAGAATTTACCCAAACAGAGCAAGTCTGTAGGGACCCCCTTGTAAAGATCACAAAGTCAGAGGAACTTTTATCTTTCCATCTCTCTGTTTTAAGGACGGGGTAGGCACAAGCTCAAACTACAGCCTTCTGAACAACCCTTCATCCAAAATGGAGATTAGAAAATCCTGTGGGTACTGCCTTATTCTGTACTTCCCTTTATGCCTTCTCCTGATGCCACAGCTTCCCCACTTGCTCAGGCACATGTTATTCTGATCAAATGGTGTCAACAACCCCAAAGGCTCACAGGTACCCAGAATCAAGCCTCTGACACTACCCATACCCTGGACTTTGGAGTCTGCCAAAGACAGCACTGCAGATGAGCCTGATGTCAGTGGCTAATGAAACAGAATTGATTCAAGCTGCTTCTCTCCAAAATTGAATTTCTGTGCTTTTATGAAGTCCAAAAGGGGCAAACATCTTTTTTTCAAGATGGATTTTGTGAAATCAAATGAGCACTTTTTCCAGTTCCTAAGTCTTCTTTCTGATAGTATTTAGCCAGTATTTCTCTTGGTGAAACTGAATTTTCTGTTTCCACAGAGGCATGATGCAGTGGAGAACTTCTGAAGAGCTTGCATAGACAATATCTTTCCTTTTATTTATACTATTTTAGAATCAGTTCTGAATTTCATCTCCAGTCTTCAAGATGGACCGATGCTGTACCATTTAACAACAACTTTTTCCGGGTTTGCAATGGTATCATTCCACTGCTCTACTGCTTCACTGTTGCTGCTATCAGAACTTAACCAGATCTGCATTTGGGGGGAAAAAAGAAAAAAAAAAAAAAGAGTTTACATGATATAACAAAACCCAGCATTTACTAGTTCCAAATAAATACCATGGAAGCGTAGAAGAAGATACAATATATAGATGTGACCAAAGCATAATACCAACAAATAAGAGTTCTGCTAGTCCTAACATAATGGCTTTCAGTTGGGAACACAGAGAGTCTGTGTTTAAATTTAGCTTCTAAAATAGTTTAGGGAACCCACTACATAATAATGTTTCAATACTTCATAAGTTGTTTTAAGCGAAGCATTCCTTGCTGTATTCAGATGCACATGCTGGGGTCAGGGGCTCTGCAGGCCAGTGGCCGCTCTGTGAGTTCAGACGCGGTTGGCTCCGAGCCGTGCAGCATCCGGCACGAGCTGTCCAGCATTTTCATGAGCATTTAAAATTGCACACTCCCACAGCCAGGGCCAAACCTGCATTCCACAGAGGTTACTAGCATGCCCATACCACACATAGTCACGTAGTAAGAGTCCGTTTCTTCTCAGTATTCAGTTAGGGGATAGTGGCCATTAAATGAGGAAATGAAGCACAAGTAGGAAATTTTCCCCCTTAACATTATCACCAGCCTCCATTGCCAAAAGAATTCTGCTTATGTAAGTAGGTAGCATTATTTACAGGACTCTATTTCCTCAAGTCTTCCAAGAATGAGTCCTTTTAAGACTTCTCAGAAACCTTGACCATGAAGTACATTTAGCCTATACTGCTGGGGCACAAGTCCTCACGAAGTGAGAATAATGTCTTCCAGAATACCACAGACAGCTGATGTTTCATTCACAGAGATTCAATGTACATCTTGCTCATGATTAAAGACATGCCTGTAAAAGCAGCCTAATCTAAGTATTGTCTGCTTAGAACAGCATCCAATTAAACACCATTCTCTGAAGAAAAAAGTTAATAGATCCAGCTATATTCATTTTTTTCCAGATACCCAGCCAATTGCTCAAAGTACATTTTTTCCTGAGCTATATTTTATGTCTTCATGTGTTATGTGGCAATGTCTGCCTTTTCCAAACAACCTCTGAGGAGCACAAGTTTTCCTCCCCCTAAAAATAACATCCACAATCAAATGCAACTCATCAGATTGAGATTTCCTCATATATTGCTAGATGACTGCAAAATCATACTCAGTTATTTCTCCCACCAAGGCAGTACAGCGAAGAAGAACAATTTTTTTTTGCTTTTCCTATTTCAAATCTGATTTCACCAACAGGAAGATGGGACATGTGCAGCATGAGGCTACAAAAAATGGAGGAATTTCACATAACTCTTGCTGGCACATTGTTCCTGTATCTTATACATGAGCATCTCCTGTAGCTGCATGTCTTCAGCAGGCACAAAAAGCATCATCAGAATAGGACAGTATAATTCTTTTGTACCTAAGGATAGCAGTCCTCCATCTGACATGGGACATTACATTTGGGATCTCAAAATCAAATCTACATTATTAATTTATGCATTTATTAAATTTCTGTGACTGCATCTAACTGGGTCAGGAAAAGCACAGAGCATTAAGAACAATTATGGCTCAACCATACCAAGAAGAAGAGAGACAGAGAGGACAGGATGATGGTGAATTAGAACAAGCAGGGGAAGAAGATGGAGAGAATAATGAGACCACACTACTAAGTTTTATGGTGGTTAAATAAATACGATCACACATACACTTTCGAGGATGTACTACTGAAGTTGTGTCTGTTAATTAAAACACAAACTAAAAATATTTTGAGTTTGGACACTTACACTATTACTTGATCATACACAGACTATTGTACTGATTTCAGCACTGTTTTACCCAGGAAAGGAGTCTCATTGTAGCTGTTGATATGTACTTTTACACAGCCCTGTTGTGAGTGCATTGTTGTGGTAAGCCAACACCCCCTTGCTGAACAGGACATTGTAGGTTATGGAGCTCCTGTGGGTGCAATGTTTTTCTTTAGAAAGCTAAAGGCAACCAGGAGATCCTGTATCTCTTGGAAGCAATCTGTCACATAGTAATACTCCACACAAACCTGACCTTAGGATTTCTTGTTGAAAGAAAATCAAGTGTCAACTCCCATTCTCATGCACATTTAAGAGCCCAGTACCATTTTTGCTTGGATTACATACAGAAGAGTTTAGTAGGATTTACTATTTTGTGATGTGTCACCTCATTTAAAGTATTTTAAAGTTCATACCAAGAAACTGGATTTGAAGTAAAGGGTATCAGGCTATTTAGCAGAAACCAACCTGTCCTAGGAAGTGCTTTCTTCTCACTGAGCTTTTGCTGTAGAGCTTGATGAGAAAGCTAATTCCTTGTTCTGCTTGGCTGACTGGAAAAAACATCATTTCTCCCCACTTCACTTGGCCATTAGTGGACTTCAGAAGGCGCGTCTTCTTTTTATAGATGATCCCTTCTGTACTAAACATTCCAACTTTCACAAAGAAATCTAGCACAAAAGGGAAGGAAAAAGGCTTAGCACACAAAGGGTTACTCACAACACACCCAAAAAGGAGTCAACAAGATCCATATGCATGCTTTGAATTGCATCAATTTCTCAAAAGTCTGGCCAAAAGAACTCTACAATAGCTTTCCTGACTAGTCACATGAACAGAATATTTCAGTAATATCGGACTGATTAACACAGTATCCAAACAGCAAGTGCAAACTAATGCTTTTGTATGTCAGGATTAATACTGGGATAAAAATCTTCCAAAATACATAAATACATATCTTCAAACCAAACAAAAAGTAATCAAATAAGATATCTGGGGAAACAAGCCTTGGCAATGGAAATCTACCCCACAATATGTTAGTCTGAGGTTTGTAAAGAATGTTATGAATTGCCAACCCATTTGAGCAGCAATTCACCTGTTACAAATGCTTTCAGAGAGGAGGCATGAAACAGCTGATGTAACTTACTTGAAGACAATGGCATAGATGAAACAGGAAGGTTTTGTGCTTCAAGAATCTGTAACTGTATCCTCCTGTTTATTGCTTGAAAACAAGTTCCTATTTGAAGTTCTGCACGGCACACCTACAAGCAGAAGAATGTTGCCATAACATTTGGATTAAGTTGCTTATAAACTCAGGAACCACAGGAATTTTGTCATATGTTGTGCTCCCACATTTCTATCTGGGATTTCCTGGACAGAAATATAAGCATGTGTTGTATTCAGAACCTGCAGATGCACAGTAAGTGCATCTTGCACTTGTCATAGCTGCAGTAAATGTGCTCCACTGATGAGCTGCTTATGTGTGGTGTACATATGGCCCTTGTGAGCTGCAGACAGGGATACTGGCCAAATCACCTAGGCCTATCAGTTTTTACCTGGTAAAATTTTGCAGTGGTAAGAGCATACAGGAGAAACCAGACTTGCCATTGTAACTTTACTAAATCTGGGTGTGGAAGTGAGAGAGCATATAAGGGCACTCACAAAAAAACCTTCAGAGTTCCCCTCCCACACTTCTGAATTTTGCAATATGGAGATATAAGCAGTGTTTTCCATAGATGCAAGGCACTGTCACTTGATGTTATGAATGCTTAGGGTGACTGCATACTGTATAGTTTCCTGTGTTATGAAAGTACTTGTGTTTTACATGCCTACACACATACACCACTACTGCACACACCAGCTTATGTATCAAGATCTCCAGTCTGATTCTTGGGGTTTTTTTAGAATTTTTGCCAGTGGAAAAGTTGCACTGAGTCATTCTCTTTGCTCTCCTGTCACACTCTAATGTCCTCAGAACACTGTAAGAGCAGCAGGACAAGGGCAGTGGAGACCCACCTTTCCTGATGGCCTTCATTTAAATGGACTCTGCTAGTCTTTGTTGCCTTCAAGTTCTAATGCACTTCAATGAACCAAAATGCACTAAGCAAGAGAGCATCAGGTTAGATAAAGAAAAGCCAGGCCCCAGTTCATCGAAGAGACCCAAATTCTCTTTGTAGCTCAGGCACAAAATTTCTGTGTAACCCTGAGAGGAAACCACTTAGTTGACTCTGAGCTTTGGCTTTCTGCTGGCAGAGAGGGCAGGGTTTGCTGCCTCACAGGGTACTATCCCAGAGTGTCTGGAGGGCTCTTGGATATAACAGTGACAAAAGCAAACACAGATTGAGAAACGATGAGATGATTCAGAAATTTACACTGAGATGAAAGCTTTCTAAACCAGCTTCCTCTGTGACTTTATCTTACTGCTTTTGAAGCAATATGGTTATTCACATTAGAACTAAAAAATGTCAAGTGTAACTTATGTTAGAAATCAAGAGTATCATTCATATTATTCAGAAACACTTAAATGAAATTTAAGCTTTTGAATTGCTAATTCAAGTTTAATTTGTTGAAAATACAAATGTCTAGACAATCTATAAAAGAAACAAATAAAGTGAGGGTAGGGGGAAAGGAAATCCCACTGCAAAAACCACCTGCTTCTTATTACACTAATGGAAATGAACTGTCTGAATTATTACTTCACAGCATGCAATCTGAACATTAAATATATGGCTGTCTCTGCAGTTTCAGGCCACTGAAGATCTTAGCACTTTTCTTCCATAACAAAAGCAGATTCCATTTGCTCTGAGCTCTTGCTGTGAGTCCTAAGGATCTTCTGATGCTTTTTTGGTCAGAAAAGACAATTACCCGATGTCCTTTGCTGAACATTTCCCCAGAATGTCCCTCCCTCAAGCTGTGAGCCATGGTGTGGAAGAGCTTGCTCTAGCTCTTTTCCTGGAAACATCTGCAGTTTATGACCAGAACAGCTATGTGCAGAGTTCAAAAGTCTGCATTTTTTCCCCATCAGAACGCCTTTCTCCAAGGAAGTAGGGTAAAAGGAAAAATTAAAAACAAACCCCTCTAGTTTCTACTACTGAATTATTTTACTTCCACTTCCAGCAACCCTTTCTAGGTGAGTTAAGAACATACTTTCATGGTATTGGCACTTACAGGTGCTTTGGAAGGAGGAGATATATCCAGCCAATGATTCGACTCCTGTGAGCTCAGCTCCCGCAGTGCCAAGGAACATTCTCCAATAGTTTTTTTCCTGGGAGTCTGTGTCTGGATTTTAAATACCAATCTGACAGCCTGCAGGCTTTGCAGTTTAATAGCAAAAACAAAAGTTTCCATAAATTCAATGTCCTAGAAAGAAAAACAGATGAGTATCATCATCATTTTAAGAGAACTCCACTGAGTCCAAAACCTAGAAACCAAGGCATCCTGGTTCTATAGCCACTGCTCCTGACTGTCCCTTTAGGTTGCCATGGAAAGTGTGCTTTTATAGTGCAAAGTCCACACACACTCACCCCTGCATTGTCACACACTGGCAGGGCCAAAGTTCTGGATTATTTTTCACTACCATAACAAGTTGTGGCCATCTCTTCTGGCGCTTTACAACAGTGCACACACACATCGTCACAACAGATTCTCTAACCTTTTGCTACAGTCTCTCCAGCTAATTTTATTTTCTTTCACCTTTGGTTCACATTATTGTTTTTGTTGCTTTTATGTTGCTTTTATGAGATTTATGTTGCTTTACCTTCCATCCCCTTCATATTCATTTACTGCCACTATCAGGAATTTTGTCCCATGTGACCAATTTTTACTATTTTCTGTAGAGACAAAGTGTGAATATTGTCTCCTGCCAGATGAGAGGAACTACCTCAGCTACCTTCCCTGGATGAGTGTGCACCTACAGGTGTGCTCAGTGTTCCTCTGACCTCCCCCGAGGTGCCATGGCTTGCAGCTCATGGTTCAGTCCCCTGCGAGCATAACTGCCCTGCCAGCTTGAGAGAAAAAGGGTAAGAATACAATTCAAGACAGGATACAGGGGGAGGAAGTGGAATAAAGCTTTTAATAGGATTTTGAGAAGTTGGGGGAAGTAAAATACACCTGGTCAGTTACCATAGCAAATATGGCATAGGAGTGGATGTTTGGTCCATTTTAAAAATCCATTTACACGTCACATTTATTTTTTCTGGAGAAAAATATTTCTCAGTATTTTGCATGCCTCTACTTACACTGCAGCCCTCCTTGGCAGAAGATTTGAAATGCACTGGCTTGGGCAGTGTGATAATTCCCTTGACACAGATACGAGGATTTTCCCCACAGCTAGAAGGCCAGCTCAGGTCTTTGCACTGCAACATTGAAAACAGTCATTTTAGACAATGCAAGATTCGCCATTTGATGTAGTTACAAGGTTTCTGTCTACTCAAAGTTCCATTGCCTGAAAATTATTCACAGTTACTGGAAGAATAGAAAACAACCAGCATAACTGTATCACATTTGCTGACAAAAAAGCCTCAAGAAACTACGTGTCCTCAGAGTTCTATTAGGGTTCTGCCCTGAAGGAACTGTTTGATTTAAAGTCATAGAATCACAGAAATCACTTAAATGGTTCCTCCACAGCTGCTCCCATTTACCACCTTCAAATTTCCACAGGAAAATGTCCATAGCAGGACCAGCCTATGACCAGCTCAGCTTTCTAATCTGTGCTGAATAGTTCCTCATGTCTCAAGCAGAACATGTGTTAAGATATGTTAACATATGTATAGTAACATATGGAGATATATATTATTTCTTTTTATTGACTGCAGCAGAACAGAGATTGCAACAGAAATAAAATTAAAGGAGAGGGAGATGCTTTGAAGCCTAGTATTACATTTGACTGAACTTTGTTTATATTAACATTTAAAAATACTTTTTCCTAAAAGTATTAATTGAAGTAACATATGTTACTTCATATGAACATAGTATTCACATGAAGTAACACAGTAACAAATTTTATGATAATTACCATTAAGTATAGTGTACTTACAGTATATAGTATACTCACTGATTATTGAATAGTCATGATTTGAATAAATAATGAATATGAATGAGTAAATAACGAATAACTTATTTATATTTGCTTACATGTAAAATTGTGATCCAAATCTGTTCTACTGAAGAAAGATAACACAACTTCACATTCAGTCTTCCAAAGTCTCGTTCATCACCTGATAATGTAATAGTATCTATGGAAGAAAGCCAATCAATATTTTTAGAAGTAATGCAGTATCTTAAAAGTTCACTCCAGAAATAAGGGAATTCATCAGTAGGTGGACTGCTTATCTTCACAAACATCTCTCAAAATAAGTTTGAAATATTTGCAGCTACATTTTAAGGACAAAATATCCACCCAGTCCAGTAACCTGGCCTTCTGCATGGCTAAAAGCCTTCACATTTAATGGACTAGAATCATGTAATCATAGAATATCCTGAGTTGGAATGGACCTTTAAGGATCATAGAAGTCCAACTCCTGGCCCTGCACAGGAGACCACACCAAGAATCACATTACGTGCCTGGGTTATCTCTACTGAATTTAATAACTAGTGTTATACTCAAACAACTTTTATAAAGAAAAAATCACGTTCCTGAGAAACCCAGAACGCGTTTATATCCTATCACTTCCCTTAATCTCTTTCACTGTTAAGCTTATAAATTGGCCTCTTCTTTATCTTTCTCAAATTTCAATTCCAGTCTAGTAAACATTATTTATTATTTAACATTTACTATTATGCTCTCTCCAAGTCAGAAAACCCATTTAATATCCTTTTTAATATCCATATTATATTTTAGTATTTTTAATATCCATTTAATATAATTTAATATATAATTAGCATTTCTCTTTCATGACTGGAACCAGGTCATTGCCTCGGTCTTCTTTTAGAAGGAGACTGGGTCAAACTTTGACTTACAGCAGGGTGACTTTTGTGGGGACTTGATTAGTTTCTGATGGTTTATTTTGCCATATCTCCACTTCTTCAGCATTCTTTCATTAAGAAGGATACTAGGTTTGCATACAATATTTTTGTCTAATGACTAGTGTAATATGGTATTGGATTTCAGGCACTTCACACAAAAAATACTGATAGATGAAAAATGACCAGACCTGGGACCTTAGTACTGCATTCTATCCTAACATGGTGTCTGCAATTTCTTAGTTCAGTTGGGTAGTAAATCCAAGTATGGACTTGTCAAATGCATGAGAACTTCTCAAGGTCTCATTTGCTCAATCTCCAGACAACAGGACAGTGCACATCCAAAACTTAATTTCAAATTGCCAAGTCATCTCCAGCTGACCTGCTAGTCAGATTCATCCCAAAAAACCCCCAAACCAAACAAAAACATCAGCAGCAGAGTCAAAACAGTTTAATGTTTCATGTGCAAAGGGAAATACTTCATTACAAGGTAAACAAACAAAACATTACCCAGACTCCTGTTACTGCCTTGCGAATCCTTCCTGGAGGAGGTGCTGCTAGGTACACTGGAGACTGAATCATATCTCTGGGAACAGGAAGAAAGGAATCACTTAATTCAGAGCAACAGATGCAAAACCCAGAGACTATACCATCAGACAAGATATGATGAAAACTAAATACCCATTTTCAAATAATTTACTCATTCCTTACTAGTTGCTTGATCCAGCAGCATACAATTACTATTTTGATGCAATGAGCTAACAGAGGACCTATTTGATCAGCAGAGATTTTTTTTTGCTCATGAATATATACACAACTTTATTGCTGTGTAAGACATGATTATTACAGAAGAAATAAATAAACAGTGTTTTGTGTCAGTGGAAACTTCCAGTGCTCCACTTTTTTACTGATGGGAGAAACCACAAGATGATGAACCGTAACATGCTGTCTGTCCTGCCCTGCCCAATAGCCTACTTGGGTTTCTCAACAGCCCTGCTGGGCCAGAACAGTGAATGTCAGAGGAGACACCAGGAAAAAGCCTCTTTAAGTTGGTCAAGATGTTGAAATTTTCCCTCTAGGCCTCCCTGTGTACAGTGCAATGCCCTCCAGTGTTTACTTTGGAAACATAATGCAATGGGAACAGATACACTGAGTCAGCTGAGTTTTCAGTATGACCTTGGTTGCAAGGGGAACTCACCTTCATGAATCGGTGAGGTGGGCTCCTGAGATCAAACATCGAACGACTTACATCAAGGGATCCAGGCAAAGCACTGGGTCTTAAATCACTAACTAAGAAGGCAAAGAGAACAATAAAAATCACATTAGCATCATTTCTAGGAAAAAACCCCAACTAAGAATAACTTTCACAAACTGCTGGAAATTATCTCCCCAGTCCCATAGATTACAAATGACCAAAATGGTTTACAGACAGTATGATCTGCTGCTTCTAGTAACATTTTCCAGGAATATGGGGATGGGGCAGGGGTAAAGAAATGGTGCCTTTTTAAAAAAATTACATTTTTAATGAAAAAAAGAAATGTCTATTTTTATACAGAAAGCTCTCTGTAAAATTTAAGAAAAACAGAAAGATATTAATCATAAAAATATATTGTTTACCGATAATAATTAGAATTTCAGAAAAACATTAATGAATTTACTTTTCAGTTTGTTTGTGTGGAGGTTTTTTTGTTTTAGATGAAGAGAGGGGTCTTCACATTAGAATTCAAGAATTTAATTTTGTACCTTGCAAATAAACACATTCTGTAGTTCTAAACCCACACATATGAAAAATATCAAGCACTTGCTGCGACAAACTAGGCTTTGAGTTTTAACAGTCTGTAAATACTCATGAAGTTCTAAGTTCTGAAACAGCTGTCAAAAAACTCTGAAGGAAAAAGGCATTTTAGAAGTGTACTCTAGACACACTAGAATAACCTTTCTTGTGTTTAAACTTGCTCAGACAAAACTAGTAGAATGTTCACTTTGCAGGAAGAAAAATGGAAAACGACATGGTGAACTGAAGGGAAGATGTTCAAGACAGTTTAATAAAACCCATTTGGCTCCCACCACAGGTGCTTACAAAGCTTGGTAAACCCACACATGTTAAAGGCTGCTAAAATTCTGTGTGCATTTTTTCTCTTAAAAAAATACATGGAGCAGTGTTTTTATGTAGTCTCTATGGTGACTCAGAATTATTTTAGAAGAGGACACACACTGAGACATTTTCCCCCAGCTGAAAATAAAAATGCTATATCATTCTAAATAAAACATCTTTAAAAATGTGAGCAGTTGCCAGCTTCCAATTTCATGGATATAGTGTACCTTTCCTTGAGTGTTTGAGTTTTCTGAATGCATTTGCCTTAGCAGTCACAAGAAACAACTACTCATTTACTCCAGTCTGAACAGCATTCATTATAGGATACATACACCAATGAACAGTGCAGAAGACAATTTTTACCTTGGTAGCCAAACACTTTCTATCTAAATTCTTTACTATCTTGCAGTCCTCCCTCATTCTTACACACACTGAGAAGTGGGGACATTGCTGTATCTTCAAAAGCAAACTACAAAATAAGTCTGCATATAGCATCATGCCCCATTTTGCACCTGTTCTTATCATCAGCTCCTGAATGTTTTTTGTTCCTATCCCCATATGTGTACTCCTCAGGCATTCCTCCTACTCAATATACTGCCTGGCTTCCTTTTTCCATCTCCCTCACTCCTCTTACTGGTAGCTGAAATCTCCAGTACTGCATCCTGGTATGGATCAGAGGCAGCTAAGGTATCTCACTTGGCCAATTTGTCTACCTTTGTGTGATCCATGAAAGCCTTGTTAAGCCCCTAAAAGACAAAAAGTAACAGTGCAGCTGAAAATTAAGCAGGGCTGGCTCTGCAGATTGATTCACCAATCAAAGAGTATCCTTAGCACACTGACCAGCTTGAGAACTGCTCTAACCAAACAAGTCTTCTGTAGACTAATGACTTTTATTCCTCTTACCTATAAACCCTGAAAAAGGGAGGAAGACAGAGAAGCAAGGGTGTGGTCCTTCTCACCTGATCCATATAATTTCCTACTATCTGATTTTGCTTGGAAGCGCCTGATGAGATCTGGTGAAACCCGATGCTCCAGATAGAAGGGGTTGTACACGTCGTAGTGGGGCCACTGGTACACGCTGTGCAGTTCTGCCTTCCGGCCACCAAACGAGGCTCTGGCTGACTCTGTGGAGCACAAGTAAACATTAAATGCAAGAGTTCCAGACATAACACATGCTGCCTGGCTTCATAAGGCAGGCAGAGTGCCTTCAGGGCGAAGGACAAAATATTTCAATATTATCTACTTTGGGTAAAGGGAAAAAAAAGAAAAAGAAAAAGAAAACACACATTCACATTATGTCAGATTTCCACAGTGTGTGAGCAAACACTGGAATTAAATTGGCCATAAAAAACTATGCATACTCTCTCTTGGGGTTTTGCAGTAAATGCCTAAGTAGTTAAATACAGAAGGCTTGAAAGACAAACAGCAAGACAGAAGTTAACAGGAAAAGTAGTACTCTGTGTACAGAAAACCTCCAAATTATTTAGTTACCTACCCCCAGAATATTCCTACTGAACTAATGGATGCCCAGACCTTCAGGAAGACCTTAAATGAAAAGATAATACAGCTTGTGACTGAAGGCTCCTTATCTACTTTTCATGACAAGTCTGTCCATGGTAAAAATCACTGATCCAAAATTACTTGAATTGTTGGCTGAGGTATAAGTAGACATATCTGAGACTGCTTGAATCCCAGCCCTTTACTCAGCCCATAATAATTTCAGAAAAAACATGTATGCCTTGGTCAGCAAAACAGTGAAGAACACTGCTGTAGTGTTCTTTACTGTCTGGACTGACAAGAAGCCATATGTAACAGCACATTAGGGAATGGGGTGACCTGGCTTCTGCCAAACTCTGATATTTGCTTCCTTCACTTCACCCTGGACTTCAACCTATTTCTTAAAAAGTTCTTTACCTCACAACAAAGTGCCTTCAGTTCTGCAAGTGTCTTGTACCATAAGAGGCAGACTACCACTGCCCAAGAGTCCTTTCCTGCATGTGTTAGTAAAGTGAAAATCTAAAACACTGAGGTGGAACATGGGTGTTGGTTAAGCCAGAGCTCAAGTGCAATGAGCTTGAGCATGACGTAAATCAGGATGAACACTGAAAGTGAGGCCACAAAGAATTGCTACACAGCAGATGATAGAAAATCCAGTGTTCCAGACCAGGAGCACACTTCTTCCTGCTAGCTTACTTCTGTGAGAGCATGAGACACACTGCAGTGAGCGCTGAAGAGAAAGGCTGCCAGAATTTAATTGCTTTCAGAAGGTTTGCCAAGAACTAATACTGAACATGTCCTGTTCTACTAAAGGAAAATGGCCAGACATGCACAGAAAATGGTGAGGAACTGAGAGCAGGACTTGGACTTCTACAGATATTTAACAACTGTCTAAGAAAAAAGTACTCTGAATACATTTTTGACTATGCTGGTGCTTTGGCTAATGTGAAAAAAGAATGACAGCACACTTCACTCTATTTAGTAAATCTCCCTAAAAAGTAAACATCGCATTTTTAAACACAACTTTTTGTGGCTTAAAGCTGTACTTAAAAAAATTAGCATTTATATTTGGAAAGAGAAATGAAAGCTGCCTACTTGACATAAGAGTCACTTTTCAAATATTTGTTCAAAAATTTAAAATATTTGCTCAAGACACTCAGTTATGAAGAGTCAGGTCATCCTGCCAGAAGATCTGTACACCAGGTCCCTCAGAAATTATCAGGAAGCAAAATGCTCAATGTAGACAAGTCACTGACTGTTAAGATTGTGTAAGAACAGCATGAACAAGGAAAACATTCATCTAAAGGCTGTTAGACACATCTTCCTTCTCTCTGGAGAACATCCATGCCTCAGAGTCCTTGATAAACTTCTCTGTACAGTATCTTGGAGATGAGATAAGAGTAAGGTCTAAACCTAGACCCAGTAAAAAAAGGGATTATCAGGAGCATGACCTGCTTTTCCATAGCATGTCCAACTACAGACTTGAAAGAACTAGCCACAGAAATAGCAGGCAACTGGGGAAATCAGGCTCAGAGATGAGGGGGCTCACATGTTCTACCTGCAGCTCCTCAGTTGCCTGTTAATGGCTGCTGACATGCCAAATAAAGACCACGAGAAGATGGGGCACAGAATGGCCAGTCTGTACCGAACAGCTCTGCTAGGCTGCTTAGCTTGGCTATGGTGCCAGTGGTACATGCAGCAGTGGGTGGGGAAGTCTGGTAATAGCCCTGCAGGAGCAGGAAAGAAACAACAGCAGGGGCCTAGAGAGAAGAAGAGAGAAAGGTGGGAATAAAACCCCACAAACACAAAAAAGTTAGGTAGTACTGCATTAGTTATTATGCAACATTATGGTTGACTTCTATCAGTTATTAGGCTTTTCACCTTCAGAAAGGAAATAAAGTCATGTGGGACTAAGAACATACTACCAGCTTATCACTTCCTTGAGGCAAATAAATCCTAGAGAAAACAACTGTTCAGGTATGCCTCTGTGCCAAAAATTTCCCTTACCTAATTCTGTGCATCTCCTGGAAGGACTAAGAGCCTAACAGTAGCATTTGCTCTGTAACTCATGTTAGTGGGACAGGATCCTATTCTAAGGATTATGTCTACTCAAAAAGAATGGGATCATATTATCTTAAAATGCCACTGTGTCTAAATTGCATGTACTTCATTTTGGCAGTTTGAGTATGGGAGTAACAGAGGATGAAGCACAAGAATGTTGTGAAGCAGAAAAAAAATAGTATCATATGAAACCTCGTACCAGGGGATCTGTGCCCCCTGGCCTCCCAAAAAACAGCAAAAAAAGCAGGAAATAATAGGGAAAAAAAATTCTGCCAGATAGTAGCACATGACATCTCATCTACTGGCAAAATTTGAAAAGGAAGATGTGTTAGTATGTTAGAACATACTAGAATATTAACCATGGGAGCTGGAACACCCTCCTCCTTTTCCTTGAGTGATATGGATACTGGGGATATATTAGGTCTTTCCTTGTCTCCAATAAATTCAAGGAATTCTTTCTAAAGATTCCATTTCCTTTAAGTGTCTTCCATTACTTTTGAGTATGAGCACTGGCATGCAATTGTCCCATTTAATTTTATTCATACAGTGTCACAGAGATTCACAGTGGGATGACATACTTGCCAAAACCTCTCTGGGTGTCCAGAGAGAAAAGAGACAAGCTCCCCAGGCTCCCCAGGGCACTGGTCACAGCAGCAGCCTGACAGAATTCTAGTGTTTGGACAACGCTCTCAGGCACATGCTGTGACTCTTGGGGTATCCAGTGCAGGGTCAGGACTTGGATTCAATGATCTTTGTGCTTCCCTTCCAACTCAGCATAATCTATGATTCTTTGAAACAAGACCAGGCTTCTAGAAAAGTTCTGCAAACATATGTATTCAGTAGGAATACTTGACAACGTTCAAGGCGCAGCAGAACTAAAGACAGCTACTTCAGCAATACTGTCTGTATCTTACCTTTAGTCCCTCCAGCGTGTGAGATGCTGGGAAGGTTCTTTGGCTGTACATAAGCCAGTTTGAATGGAGGGACCACAAATGGTACCTCCTGACCATCCAGGGGCAGTTTAGAAAGCAAATAATCCTCAGAACAGCCAACTTGACGCTTCACTGACACAGAAGACAATGGAGGCTGCTCTACAATAGTTGGCTTGCTTGCAGCTACTGCTTCAGATTCCTGCACCATGGAAACTGCTAAAAATAAAGAGCAAGACAGACAGTACACATCTGCATTAATTTTTGAACAATACTATGAACAGATCTCTTATTTAAAAGTATCTCTGCTTGATACATTACTCAACAGCTGCTAGTATTCAGTTTTACAGCACTCAGGACTAGCATCAGGAAAAGATATTCATCCTCCTGACACCTGTACTGACCCAAACTCTTTATTTCCAAAGCAATATATTTATACCTTCTTCTTAAGTGAATTTTCATGGGAGCTACACTTGTATCATGAAAGAGTTCTTCAAACAAATAAGACACCAAAGAAAATCCTAACAGAGTTAAAAATACCCACAGAGTTCAAAAAATTAATAAAAAAAGCATTCAGATTCGGAGAGTTTGGAAGATATAAGACCTTTACACAACCTTGGGTAAAAAAGCTGATTTTTTTAGACAATGTTCTAGACTGCAAGGAGCAGATTTCAGACAAGTGTTATTTCTCAGTTCCAATTCATAATACTAACAAGCATGTGTTCAATCTCCAAGTGGAGGTATGGAAAGAATTTTGGATGTTGTAAGAGAAATCAAGTTTATCAGGGGTAACACAGTCATTTTATTAATGGGAAATCTCATCACTAACAAAACAGCAAAACTTTTATTAAAGCTTCATTACGCCAGATACTCACGATCATCTTTTTCCTTGTCCATGCAGAAACACAGTTTACAGCAAGTTTTTATACATTCTGTTGCCATTGTTTTCAGTGTTATAATTTTGAGGGGGACCTCAGTCAGTGATCCAGTGCAGCTATCAAACCTGAAAAACACAATCAAACAAACCATAGTAGATGGGAGTAAGTGAAATCAGCTATTTAATATGTAATTGCTTTTTCTACACAGTCACAGGATCAATCAGAAAGCTACTTCAGCCATAAAAGGATCAGAGTAATCAGATTTCTCTCACTGAGAAGAATCCCTTTTATATAAAAGCACAAAGAAGGAGAAAATTTTAACATAGGGCATTCAAATACTTTCAGTGATCCACTCAGACAGGTCCCTGTCTTTTGGGAACACTAGAATTCTCCTCGTATTTGTGTGTGCCACTGGGCTTTGGAGTTTACTCAGCTTTATAGCTGTTTTGACATGGTATTGTCAAATAATTTTCAAGATGTGTTTTTAATTGTTCCCCTTGTTCATGTTTCTCCTATCCTCTTTCACTCCCCTACTATTTTCACATACATCTATACATGTTTACATTTTTTACTCGACATATTCCATACTTTTAACTTGAAAACAGGCTTTATAAATGATGCCAAAATTGCCTTCTTTGAGAAACTACTGCTTTCTCATAATTGTATGCACATGAAACTGAAGACCTGGTTTATTATATAATTGTTTGCTGTGCACACAGAAATAAAACACACTGACTTACAGCAAAATAAGAGATATGTAATCTACAAAAGAATGAGAACAAGTCTCTAACAGCTGGTTAACATTATAAGAACTTTATGACAATGCTAACTGGCCTCATTTAAATGTCTTTATTCATATCCTTATGTTCTCTTTTCAGAGAGACATAGACAGCTGCACTGCCTCCTGTCCAAAACTTCAGCTGTCTAAGTCTAGTCCTTTTACATCCACCTAAAGTGCACAAGGTTCTTAGGAGAACATACCCGATGAAGAATAATGAAGATTAGAAGACACCAAACAGGACATGAACATAGGTTGAAGGGATGGGGAAGACAACGAGTAAGATAGAGGGGGAAAGCACAGAGAAAACATGCAGTTTTACCAAAAAATGAAAAATGGACATGTTTGCTTAGTTATTTCAATTGCAAGAAATTTCTGAAAGCATCTGTGTACCAACACGGAAACCATTCCCTCTACAGCTTGAATGGTGCCCTAATTTTCTTTGTATAGTCAAAGACAGCTAGAGAATCACAAAAAGTCTATGGAAATAACTGTAATAGTCCCCAGATTTTTTCTTGCATTAAAAGCCCCTCAAATTCTGTAGATCTCAAGTGGAGATACTAAGCTATGGATGCTTCCTCTAACTCAAACACCATTACTTTGCACAGAATTCCTCTCCCAGTACTTGCCTTCATCTTAAAATTGTCCATGATGTAAGTACAGCATGAGATCTGCATCAAAAATCTTCAGAGGCAATGCCACCAGCTCCAGAACCCGCTCTGCATCTTTACAGAAGCACAAAGGGAGGCATGAGAATTTCTTATTAAATTCTCCATGGTTCTAATGACCAGATTTTCACTGCTGCTCCTCCCTTGGAGGCATACTCATGATAGCTAAGGCTGCTAATTTACTTTGGGTTCCCTTGCAGTGATTTTCCTTCCCAGCTGTTATCAGTACACAGCTGGAGTTAATATGCTTCACTCTTGTTCACCATGTTTAAACTGGACTGAAACAGCTGCTCTGTTTGCTCTAAGCTTTGCAACAATGGTATCTAAGCCTTAGTGGCAGTTTGCACAGGCAAGACAGACTTTTATCTCAAAATGTCCAGATTGAATTTATTTGCTACTGCTGGTAAAGAAACCAAAATGTTAGCACAGGCCTACTTTCTATCTACATAAAGTAGAATTTTTTTTGTTTTTTTGCATCAGAGAAAATTTGGTTTCTGGTAGGGAATTGTTTACTTGGAACAATTAATGTGAGCAAATAAACAAATGGGAATCATCTGTCACAAGCAGCTGCCTTTCCTTCACAGGGGTGAGTGCCTTACCTAGAAAGAAAGGACTTCATATGGGTATTGAGAATTTAACAGTCATAAAGGAGTTCTACACCTCCTGTTCTTCTATCATTAAAAAAGACCATGTCTTTCACAGTAATGCCAAGTCAGCTGTGATAGTCTTTAACCATTATATTTTTCCCCATTTATCAATATGCAAATGTTCAAACATTTTTCTTCTATCTAAAGACAAATATAAAGCAATTCATTACTGTTTACTGTAAAGAAGAGTTAGGATTAGAGATTGCTCTTTAGCAATAGGCAAGGCAAAATATCAACAATGGATGCCAAAGTATATAGACACACGTTAGAGCCTCCATTTCAGTTTTAGCTTAATTCTAGGAGTTTGAGAAGAAAGTTCCATGACTAAGAGACTAGAAGTCTGTTTACACTTCTTTAAGCTTGAAAATGTAATGGTTTCAGTGACAAACCTTGCACTTGGATCCCTAGACTTACACCACAGCCACATTACAAAAAAAAAATGACTGCATTTGCTGAGGGACAGGGCATTTAGACACAGTGCTCCCTCATTCTGCTTAGAGCACTTTGCTTTGTTCATGGAATCACAACATGATGGTCCCAATTACTTTCAAAAGTTTTAATTCACTTAATTAAGCTACTGTGATAAATATTGTTGTTTTTTTGGTTTGAGCAATCCTGGCAGTAAATGAGATGGCTTGGCTCCCAGTTAATGTATTTTCTTGTATCTGTATTTTCCAAGCTGCCTACAGTTATTTATACAACTTTCACTGCATGCAAAAGTTTTCTCTTAACCATGTGGGAGAGAAAGAAATATAGCAGGTTCTGTTGTATATTTTATTAACTGAAAATAAACAAAAACATTGTAGAAGACTAAGCAAGTATTTTATGATCTTGACAGAAGTTGACATTTCTATCAAAGGTTAAACTTATCCCACATGCCAGATCCTTTTGCTGGTATTGGCTACCCAAAAATCCTCAGTGTACAATTTAACAGTTGTTAAAAGGTTGTACTAAAACGAATTTATTTCGGAATATATTTATGAAATAAACTAGAACCATAGAGACATCCTTTAGGTGCACCACCAAATCCCAAAGAAGTACTGACTTCCCAGCAATGTTATCCATTTCAACAAGAAGTTAAGACTCCTTGATACTATCTCTACTTTTTGGGGTCAGTTTTTGTTAGGCAATGCACATAACAAGGACATCCTCCATTTCTGAGATTCTAGACTGACAAAACTATGGGGAAAGAGAGAATTTCCCCTCATTTTCATATAAATAAACAGAAAAATCAGGTTGCAGAAGAGGGAACTGAATCCAGATCTTGTCACTCTTGTGTAAAATTCTCTCTTTCTTGGTATTTTTCACCAAATTTGGTAAGCCATTTCATTTCTTTCTTCCCAGTATCAAGCCAAAGTAAGATAAGCAAATGTAACTCAGCAAGAGTACTTCCACACTAAGGCAAAAAGAGAACCAAACTTACTAGAACATCCTGGAAACAGCAGTTTCAAACCTAACCACACACATACACTGAGCCTAGAGGATTATAAGAACTATTATTTTAATGAGTTTAGATGGAAAACATAAATTATCTTAATGATTTCCAGATTCCTCTGATAGAAATTTTGACTGAGCTAAAAACAGATAACCAGAGTATCAAAGACTTTAGTTCCAAATGCCTCCAGAATGCTTACAAGACAGAGATGTTTTAAGAAGAAAGTAAATATTTCCAACAACTCACTAAATAAAAAGAACATGATAGAAAACGGATGATCGCAATATTAAATATTAAAAGCTGAAAGCAGTCTCTGAGAAGAAATGTCAGGTCTTTACTGCCTTACAAGGAAAGGGTGTTTTGCAACAAGACTGCAGGTTGCCAATGAATTTTACTTCATTTAGTCACAACTGTGCTCCATAGGAGTTGAACAGGTAACACATTCACAACTACACAATAGAAACAAAGGTGAAATAGCTGTCCTCAAACAGGGAAAGCTGGCTAAACCAGTCGTTTCAAGCATTTTGAGATTTATGGGCAGTCATAAATGTATACAACACATTCTCAGATCTGCATTTTAGAAACATACCATAGCAAAATTCTAGCAGCAGTAAGTTCTCACACAGCAGGATGTGTAAAACAAAATATCCAGAAATAGGGATCATCAGTTGTTATAAAACATTTGGGACAGATCTTTGAATGACATAAGCGTCTACAACTCCATGAGCCCCAGTGGAGCCCCAGTGGAGCTCCATGAGCCCCAGTGGAGGACACTTTGCAATGTATGAGGATCTGCCCCCTGGAGAAAGTGAGCTCAATCTTTCTAATTCACACCTCAGCCAAACACCCAGTTTATGATACCTCTTATGCTACCTGTTTGTGCCACCCTGTGACTTTCTGCCTTTTAGATCCAGAAGATGCACTCAGTTCCAGTCGCAGAAATCCTTCAGAGAGCATAACAGCACCAGCTCAGGTCTCCAGATGTTTAACAGGAGCACAGCACAGCAAAAGCTGCTTCTGATGGAGGTCAGATGGATTATCTTTTGATGGTGCAGATGCTGCTTAAGGCTTAACTTCCACAGCCAGCTGTTTTATGGTTTTGCTTCTGAGGGAGTGTCTGGGAGCTGTGCACCCCTCTCAGCACAGCTCTTCATCTGAAGAGGGGTGGCTGATGGCCACCACATCTCAAAACTGGCCAACACTAGTAAAACAGCCTCAGCAGTTTTGAGACATTTGCCTCCAGGTACTTTGCTACTCCAGCAGCAAGAACAGCACACGTACCCACATACACTTACCAAAGACATAAACCCCACAGTTTAAAAACAAAAAACAACTGTTTTTTTCGGGGACTGTAGACCTGACTTGTACTGCCCACACAGAAGAGACAGGTACCTCAGGTGCATCTGAGCATGGGGAAAGAGAGGACACAACTTTCGTTCCTATTCATTATAAACTTCAGCAATACCAGGATGTCTGCGAGATTAAAAAAAAAAAAGGAAACAAAAATGTAACGCCAACACCTATCAGGTGTGTGATAAGAAGCTCCTTTCTATACCTATTTCTGGAAGAACTCCACAACAGTGATCTCCGCAATAAC